GTTGATGGCACCCTTTGCAGCCATACCTTCCTGCACGAGTTGGAACACCGTCTTGGCCTCGTCGATGCGGCCTCGCTCGGCGAGGACAATACCCAAACCGTTCGCGGCGTAGATGTTAGAGTTGTCCTTTTGCAAAGACTTCTGGAAGAGTGAGTACGCTCGCTCGTAGTGCTCCTCCTCTCGCTTCATCACCTTCGGATCACTTCGTCTGACGATGCCCTCCTTCAGGGCACTGTAATACGCCGCGTTCGCCGCGCTCACCATGGCGTATTCATCGTGCGTCAACGTCTTTTCCTTCACATTGGGCGCCACGTTCTGCTTCGGCAAGTTGCGCAACGTCGCAAACTGTTGCTCGGCTTCACTCCATCGTCGAGCTTTGAGCAAAATCCAGCCAGCGAGCGCGACGGCGTCGGCGCTATCGCTCTTGGCAGCTATCGCCTCGTTCGTGCGCTCAAGTGCGAGATCATAGTCACCACGCTCAGCACGAATCTTCGCTTGCCGCAAGATGGAATCGATATAGTCTGGCTGTGCCATGAGGAGCGCGTTGTAACGCGTCTCCGCGGCAGCGTTATCACCTTGGTTTTCCTCCAACAAGGCCAGGTTGAAAGCGATGGATGCTACGCCCGGCGGCAGCACCTTCTTCGCATTGGCTCCCTTGAGCTTACCAGCGAGCTGATCCGAGTCGCCACCCAGCGACTCTAGAGCCTTGGTGAACGCCTCACGCGCTTCATCAAACTTGCCCAGCTGACTGCTCATCACCCCAATATTGTTATGAATCGCGGTGAGGGGTCCATCTTCACCGCGTGCGTCTAAAATCTTAAGAGCGGCGCGATAAGCCTTGAGCGATCCCTTCGGATCCTCTTCTTCTAACAGTTCTCCGAGCTCCAACATCGCCTCAAGGTCGCTTCCACCTTGCTTGACGACTTCGCGGAACATTTCAGCCGCCTGCTCGCTCTTACCGGTCGACGCGCACAAGTGCGCGAACATTCTAGTCACCGTGATCGACTCGCCAAATTCTTTGTGCGCCTTATTCATGTGCGACCAAGCTGTCTTCACGTCGTGCGCTGCGAGAGCAATTTGACCCAACCCAAAGTACGGAGGAACATAACTCTCATCCAATTGCGTCGCCGCTCCGTACAGTGCCTTCGCCTGTGGGATCGCGCCTCTGGCGTGTAAAGCGCGGGCTTGATTGAACGCGGCCTTGGCACGGTTTCTAGCGCTCTCGCCGTTGTTTTGAATCGCTGCGCGCGTGAGCGCTTCGACCTTGTCGTATTCTTCACTCATGAGCAAGTTGTCGGCGATTGCATTGTTCACCGCTTGGTTATGCGGATCGAGTGAAAACGCGCGCTCTAAGAGTCGCATCGCCGTTCCGACGGAGTCCAAGTGCTGTTGACTGCGAATGTCGTGCAGACTGAGCTCGCACAACGCCAAACCCAACATGGCCTCCACGTTGCATTCGTCGAGCTTGAGCACGCGCGCAAACGCGAGCTTTGCCGTCTTGAAATCGCGCAGCTTGTACTGACATGCACCGATGCCGAGGCGCACCGGTGCCGGAGCGCTCGGGAACGCTCGAAGCGCACGCCTGTACCACGTCAACGCGTCGGAGTACTTGCCCTTTTTGTACAACAGAGACGCCTTCCAGAGCATGGGCGTGATGTTATCGAATCCGTCATCTTTTAACCCGAGCGCCTGATCGACGAGCTTCTCTCCCTCCACCACCTCACCTCTCGCGAATGCCAAGTGCGCCTTCCCCAACACCACACTCTGCTCGGGTTTGCGATGAATCCCCATCGCCTGCTGTAAGAGCTGATTCGCTCGAATGAACGCCTCCTCCGCCGCGATTTTGTCCGTCGCCGTCCCACCCTTATTCGTCCAGTGGCTCGCGTACAGCACGAGAATCGACGATCGTCCGTGCGGATCGTGCGCGTAGTGCGTCTCAATCTCCGGACCGCACAGCATGGTCATCAACGACTCGAACGCGCCTTCGTCGCCGTTTCTCAGGTAGCGCTCGCACACCTCGATCCACGTCTCCAACGGCGCCAACTCCGCCTGCAACGCCGTCGCGACCTCCTCCGCATCACGCGGGAGATCATCTAGGTCTATCTCCACGCACTCCGACGGATCGTTGATCAGCGGTACGCGCACGACGGCGCGCATCGTCCTCTCGCGCGCTCGATTCGATTCACCCTCCAGACTGGAAACGTCCAGATCGCACCTCCGTGCCACCACCGACGCGACGCGCGACGCGCGCGATGGACCACCGCGACGCGCTCGACGTCCGCGCCCCCCGCTCCGCGCTCGCCGCGACGGGCGTGGACGTGTGCGGCGTCG